ATCTTTAAGTGAAATTTGGGGCCTCACGAATATACAGAAAACTCAAAGTCTTTATGTTTTTATGGCAATATCCCCTTCACATAAATTTATATAATTTTATTTGACCCTCATAGATGAATTTTGATAACTCTCAAGGTCACTGGATACTTACGGACAGTTTTGAAATATCGGGTAGCTTTGTTTCCTAGTTTTTTTATCACTTCAAGCTATCCACACTCAAGTTCATCAGTATTAAAATCCCCTGAACCGCACATAAATTCCTTTCTCCAATTTCAGCTTTTCTTTTTTTTTACTTCTTTTTGCATATTGCATAAGAATTTCTAATACATAAAACAGATAAATGGTTTATAATCCTAATAAATTCTGCTTGGGAAAGATTAAATTTCTGCACACTCACCACAGAATTTGCAAGGCAGCGCTACCATTACCAGGGCAGGCAGGCCATGGCTCCTCTCCAATAGTGAAGTTATTCAGGTGTCCTCTGCTTTTTCACCTTTGCTTGTTACATCCTATCGCTGTACGTTCCACCAGAGACAAAGATTTCAGGGAAATCTGAATTCCTGTGCAGAAAAATGGGCCATAAATCTTTTAGGAACATGTACAATAATTGTCAAAGAAAAAATGATATAATCTACTAAATTTCTTCTGAAGAAGTTTAAGGAGAAATCTAAGCCAGTCTCAGGCTAGTAAGAACACTGGCCTGGATATCATCAGCAGTGGGGATTACATTGCTCTTTGCAAAGAAAGCTGTGTCCAGAAGCCCACTAACTGATGGTGGCATAACAAGATTCATGGTCTTGATGCAGAGCTTTACCAGCTGAATTTCAAGGAATCATTTTTTTGTAGTTATTGTTCAGTTCATGGAAATCAGAATGAAAACACAGATTGGTTGGGGGGAAGGGGAGAAGGGGGGAATCTATTTTGCGCAATTACCGGAGACAATGAGAAGTAAGAGTTTCCCAAGGGAGATCAAAGTCACCAACTGCATTTTTGATATTCATAATTCATTTCCTGGGTCTGTCTTTGCATGTGGGTAAATCAGCTTTGGTAACTGATAACAGCAGGACACTTTTTCTGCATATTCATGCATACATTCATCAGTAGCTATATGGTGGGGGGGGGGTGTGCGAAGAGATCAGGTTGTGTTTATTCCTCATCTCTCAATGTTGCAAACAGTAGTCCTGACTCACTTCCTACTCCAGTCCCACTTTTGCTTAGATGGGGAATAGAGTGGGGGCACACAGAAGAATAAGAAATATATTATTATATGTTGCTACCCAAGAAGTGTAATATTTCTGAGAGTAACAGTACTTGAAACAAGAGTACAAGGTATCAGAAAACATCCATAGTCTCCATTGTCTCCATTTCTACAGTTATGAATTTTGCTTGGAACTATATTTGAGTTTTGGAGAAGGGATAAAAAAAGGATGGAAAACGTAGCAATCAGAAAAAAGCAAATTATTGTAAAGGAACTCTGTGGTTTTATTTTTCACTTGTCCTATTGACTCATTTTAGAGGCAGGCACCTGAATAATTCAGACAAGTAACTTAAAATATGATGAGTTCCTGGGGGGTAGGATGGAAACCAAGAATCTATCTAGTCTTCTTCATCAGCAAGAATGCCTTTGAAAACTATGTTGCTAGTTGTGAGCAAATTCCTAATTATAAAAATTTCTTGATCTTTCTCCCTCAGTAAAACATACTCTCTTAATAGCAACTGTTTCAAAGTTTCGTTACCAAAGAGTATTTCTGAATAGGTTGATAATGCTTTCCGCAATAAATGTTTTCAGTTACAATATGCTCAGAGTTTCTGTAAGTGTCTTGACTCAAAAAAAAAAAAGGAATATATGCCTGCATTGTAATAGAATCTTTCTTACTGTTTATTGATTACTGATAATTTCTTACTGGATGAAAAGGTAGGTCTCTTCAGAGCTACGAGGAGTGCTGACTCCAGCCAGGCTTCCTGAATTGTCAAAGCGTACACTTTGGTGAAGAAAGGTTGTTATTTCCATTTAAATGTGTAGCTTGATCTAGAACCTGGCAGACTACAGGGTGTAAGCAGTAGTCATGTATCCCTAAACAAGTATTGTACCAGTTCTTTTGTAACTTTGATTCTTTTCATAGCCAATTTGTCATTAAAAACTAAACTGTTTTCATATTGTACTGTTTCTTGCAATTGTTCAGTAATTATTTTCCCAATGGGAATACATATATATTGTTTTAAGCTCTTTTGTGGCCAAGAACATATTTGATCTGTTTGTAATGCTCCCTGTAAATTTACATTGCTATATAAATATTTATCAGAAATAGCAAGAGCAGGCTTGGTTTAGGCCCACACAAATGCAGGAAGACCAGCTGCACTCTTCAGAAAGAGCTGGTAGCACATGAACTCTCTTTCAATCAAGACTGATGAATTTATTAGCATATGCGAGATTGTGTGGGAGCTTATCTGGTACAAAATAACATAGCAGAGGAAGGAGAGTTGATTAGCAGGGTGTCTTGGCTTAGTAAGTGATCTTAGTCCAGGTATAGCATTGCTTAAAGATTTATCAAGGTGGATGACCAGCTCAGATGCTGGTCACCTGTATTGCTCTCAAAATAGTTCCTTCAAAACTTTGAAACACTCATCGCTAATGGTTTAAAGAAACTTGACAGTAAGCAAGCAAATAAGTTGCTAAGACAGTCATATATGAATCTCGTATAATAATACCATCTTCCTATGCTCCTCTATCTATTATGATGTAAGTAAGACATGGTAGATCAGTGCTTTCGGATAGGGTGTCTGTGTTTATACAGAATTTGCCTTGGTGAACTCCATCTGTGACCAATTCATTTTATGGTACAAATAAAGTTTTACAATGAAATAAAAAAAAATTACCCCTTTTAGTAATGATGCATATGGAAAGTAAATGTCAAAAGATACACCAGAGTTCAAGGCCACTAATTTGTATTCATTTCTCATGTCTGCTTTTAGACTTTAAAATTAGTCATTGCAGTATTTTACAAGTACCTTTACAAATAAGCTATTGCTTTCAGGCCCCCATTTACCATGATGCCTATCTGCCATTTTAGATACCAAATAGGCAGTGTGCTGCATCTTCATGACAAGACGCCACAGGCAATGAATTACATCTTTTAAACAAAGAACGTGAATTTGTCTGGTATCTTGGAGAGAAGTATCCAAAACAATACTACTGCTAATATTGTCGTAGTCTTAAAGAAACCCTCAATTTTTTTTCATGACATGAAAATAAATGTTTTGGAAGATTATATATTCTCCAAATACAATGGAAAGGGTTTAATACTAATTTTTTTCTGAGAAACAGAAGTATCTTTAAATGTTTGTGCAAAACATGCGTGCTATTTTTACACAGTGATGATAATGTGGGAAAAAGAAAAACATACTTACGAGGGGTAAAAGGGAATCACCTCCCTGTCCTCTATCTGCCTTAGCATAGCTCCTAGGAGGATCTGTTCCATCATTCCCAGCAAAGAGGAGAGGCTGACAGGTTGGTAGTCCCTGGCGTTCTCCTTTTTACCCTTTTTAAAAATGGGTGCAATGTTTCCCCTTTTCTGTTGCCAGGGCCTTCACCTGACTGCCAGGGCTTCTCAAATATCATGCAGAGTGGGTTGGCAACTATATCAGCCTATTCCCCAGGACTCTGGGATGGATCTCATCAGGTCCACGTCCAGAGCCTCATACTTGTTGTACAGAGGCACCTGGGAGGGCAAGATAGGGAAGTGGAGCGTGGACTTGCACCCGTTCATTCCTTTTCCTTAAGCTACTGCCTTCAGTCTGGCAAGGAGGAGATTCAGGACCCTCCAGATCTTGGTTTTCCTTCTGCTGGCTGTTCCTGCTCTTGTCTCAGGTCAGAGCCTGGTTCCACCACAGATTCATAGAATAGTTTAGGTTGGAAGGAACCTTCAAAGGTCATCTGGTCCAACCACCAATATCCCTCTCAGTCTCCCTGATGCTTCTTAACCCTCCTACTTCCTCTTTTAGCTTTGCCGCCCTGCTGAGCAGATCATCCACCTGGTCACATCTGTCAGAGCTGCTGTCCCTGCTGCCATCTGATACCACTGAAAGGCTCTGGCACTCCCTGCAGCCTTTGACCTGGATGGCTGCATATTTTCTTGAGAGCTCTGTCTGAGTTACTACATCCTTCCTGGAGAGTGCAGAGGACATAACTTTGCACCAGGTGCACACCATGTCCAAGCTCCTTCTGGGAGGGCGATAACCACCAATAGAACCAACCTCTGCTCTGGTGAGAACCCCCTGCAGTCCTATATCCAGCTATGGAGCCCCCAACACAAGCGGGACATGGAGCTGTTGGAGAGAGTCCAGAGCAGGCCATGGAAATGCTCTGAGGGCTGGAGCACCTCTGGTCTAGAGACAGGCTGAGTGAGCTGGGCTGGTTCAGCCTGGAGAAGACTCTGGGGAGTCCATAGGGGAGCTTCCAATGCCTAAAGGGGCAGACAAGAAATTTTGAGAGGGGCTTTTTGACAAGGGCCTGTAGGAACAGGACAAGGGGGAATGGCTTTAACCTGACAGAGGGGAGACTGAGATGAGACATTAGGAAGAAATTCTTCCCTGTTAGGGTGCTGAGGCCCTGGCACAGGGTGCCCAGAGAAGCTGTGGCTGCCCCATCCCTGCCAGTGTTCAAGGCCAGGTTGGACACAGGGGCTTCGAGCAACCTGGTCTAGTGGAAGCCGTCCCTGCCTGTGGCAGGGGGTTGGAACTGGACGAGCTTTGAGGTCGCTTCCAAACCTAAACCGGTCTGGGATCCTGTGGTAAAGCGCCTCCTTCACATGCCTTCCCGCGCAAACTGCCTCGCCACGCCCTCGCTGGCGTGCTCGCGCTCCCTAGGCCGCTTCTGATAGGCTGTGGGGGTGGGTTCCGTTAGTCTGGCAACGCCCAGAACGCGTCAGTGACGCTAAGGGATCTGCCGACCGTTGGTGGCTCTCTGCTGCTTGAGGTAAAGCTGTCGTGCTCCCGGCTGTGCCGTAGGTCGGATCGGCTCCGGAGCAGCTTCCCTCGGGAAATCACGTACCTTCAAGTCTACAAAAGAAGCAGGAGACTTCAAAGGTAAAACTAAAATTTGGGGATGCCAGTCCTCCTAAAGGTAAACGTGCATACTTGAACCAAAGGGATGTTGTGGTATTGGAGAGGGTACGCCCGGTTCAGATGTGTTTCACGATGAGCTGGGTTATACCAATGACTTGTATTGACTAGATTACCGCTGATTTTAAAAGCAACTTGGGCAACTAACATGGTTAGGAAAATGCTATTGCAATCTTTGTAGAAACAGATAATCCCATCCTGAAATGAAAAATTAATTTTTGAAGGCACTGTGTTTATGTCAGTTTCCTTCCAACTGAAGATTTCCAGCCCTGCTCTAGGAGTTAATAGGGAGCCAAGTCCTGCTACAAGTATAATCATGGAAGTGTTTACTAGGAATGTAAAACAAATTTTCTCTGATTTCTGTGAAAATCGCTGTAGTACTTCCCTATGACAGATTAAGGTAATGGAATCTGTCATTGGGTCAAGAAATAGTACAATAAGGAAAAACAGTCATGTTAAGGAAAAGCAGTCATGTTACTTTCATGGGTTGTAGTGCAACATGGATGGATGTTTTCCACCTACAACCATTGATAATGCCTAAGATAATGCCATAGATAATACCTGAGATAATAGCATAGGTAATACCGGAGCACTATTAAAGTACATGGATTTAATTCTTCAGTACATACATGTAAGCTGTTTTGCAGAAAGGGTGCAGAGGCAAATCAAATGAGTTGGTGTGGAGCAGGAGTGTTTGAGGCCAAAACTTCAGGATTCTGCCCTACTCCCCACCCCCAGCCACCACGGTATATGGAATTTAGAGTAAGGTCATCAGTAAGAGAGCTGTAAGACATTCTGGTGCGTTATAGGAATCCCATTGCTAAGTAGTTGGAGGAGAGTCTTCCTGTGCTCCCCATCATCCAGGAACCAGAGAGGGATATCATAAGCAAAAGTGTGTTGTGAGGATAGGGAAGAAACAGATGAGAAAATTGCAATCCCCCTTTAAAAAAGATGAAGATTCTTGTGTTTTGGGGACAAAATTTTCATTGCTTCTTTTTGGTTATATCAGAATTTAAAGGTTTTGGCATAAGAGCTAAGGTGCCACTAGGCAGATTTTCAAAAGCGTTTAGACGCTTAAAAGATTCAGGTACCTCAGTTTTTACTTAGCAGTTAGTGGAAACATCACTGGCTGCTGGTGTGTGTTTTTATGTTTTTAAATACCTTTAAAAACATACGCAGAAGTTTTGCCATCTGAGTATTCCTCAGTCACCAGAGGAATGCTGAATCCTGGGGAAATTGAAGAGAATGCGACTGTGAAATTGAGGCCTGAACACATGCAGTTACTGAAAAACCGGAACTGCACAGCTTTGCTTTAAAATTTTGGATGTAGTTCAGAAAAGCACTTTAACACTTGCTTAAAGCCTATTAACTTAAGTAAAAAGGTAATGCATTCTTAAGTGCGATCCTTAATAGGAAAGATCCTTTCCTGGGGTGTTTCAGTTGGAGAAGAACCCTGGACTTTCTCATGGGGTTGATTTCAATTATTCACTTAAATCTGCATGCAGAATGGTAACAAGATGTGTTGGCTGTGAGTTTTCAAACACTGTTGGCATAAATAATTTTTGTTAAAACAAACAGTTTTTGCTTTTAATTTATGTTATTTTTAACTTTATCTTGATGATTACTCTTCCCAGCAATCCTTCCTGATAAAAAAAGCCTGATTAGTTCAAATTCTGTTATAAGAAATACATTGTTCTAGTATATATGGAAAATCTGAATTTCTGAGAGGTAGTATCTGTTAAGACTAAAAAGTATGTTATTTGGCACTGTCATGATGGTAATGCTTATATATATTTATAGTATATATATTACCCTCTATGATTTTCTCTTACTTTCCTGTATCTATATCTATATATTTTAACATAATTAATAGTGGATTCAAGTAATGAATTTTATTCATCTGAATACTTGAGAGGTACAAGCCAGAGACAGTTTAAAGCTAACTGGAACCCACATGAGTCAAGCTCTTGGCTCTCCTGTAGATTCAGTGGAATGTTAAGATGTTTGCAAACAGAAGGGGTTACGCATTTGCATATTTGGAAAGGTTGTGGTGGCATGGACACAAATTAATAGCCTCCCAATATTGACTGAGGATGCTCACTTGGTTTGTAGTAGCTATTTCCTTTAGAAATTACTTTCTTTTGCTCATATTGCTTTTGCCATTGTGAGCTCAGTCTCTGTTCTTTTAGAACTGCAGCATTTACTTCTGCCTTTGTTGAGGTTTTGAACTAACGTTGGATTTTGTATATTGGGCAGTGGAAACCCCAGCAAGGGACCTTGGATTTACAGCTTTCAATGACACAAATTCTAGCATCTTTTTGGTTTTGTTTTTTTTCCCCCTTTTTTTAAAACGAGACAACATGCACAAAATACGTAAAAAATAACAGTCTTGGTTAAAAAATTCCTCTATAGCTTCTGCCATGCTGTTGCAAGAAATTGATTCTGCCAGTGTAAATCCATGACCTTTGCAAGCACTTCTACTTGCTGCCTGTGTCATTACTCGATTTCCAATGGAAAGTGAGGGCACAACAAGTACTACTTGCAGCCATTTCCAGTCACTGCTTATGATAGTTCTAACCTCAGTGTCAGAGAGTCGTGTGTTTTGCAGTTCAATTCAGCGACTATCTGGCCCCAGCTCTAGAAAGGAGGGAACGAGGGGAAAGGCAGACAGGGAGTACAATTACAGGCAGCTTAATTCACTGTCTGTGAAACAGCCAGCTATTTACCTTTCAGATGCACTAACTACAGTCAAGAGACACTTGCTATATCCACTTGTCACTGTATGGTGTGCTGGGTTTGTGTTACGATATTCCTAGAAGATGTATTAATTGAATTCAGTGTGTTAACTGGTGGACATGTGCCTTCTGATGCACCTTCATGTGCTTGAGAGAGGATTAAGATCATTTGTGTCAGCAAGGCTGGGGTTTGTGAAACAGTTTGGATGCTGGGATGGTAAAATTCAAAGTTAGACATTTCAGTGGGCCATCTATATGTGTAGGGGTGTTAATAAATGTGACACCTGTGTGGAAGATGCATAGGGCAGCTGGCACAGCCAAATGTCAATTGACAGAGATGTAATTTTGGGTTGTAGATGGATGAATCCCAAACCTTGCAAAAAAGGGCAGGTGGCCTAATGGTCACTTAATAGTTTGTGTCTTTGCTGAATTTCCATTACTGTCCAGCCTTAGAGTGTTTAGTCGTCTTCAGCTATGGGTGTATGTTTGAGATTTTGTACTAGTTACACGATTTTTGTGATATAATGGAAATTATGATGCGCTTTCTAACATTTCAGCATCCAAATCATCCTTTGGGCTGGTGACAACATAAAAAAAATCATTAAACTTCCCCTCCCCCAAAAAGACTTGTACCATAGCTTGATTAAAGAGTAGCACCCTATCCAGAGTGGATATATATTCCCCAAACACTATATCTGTTGCTTGAGGAATTTACTATTTGCTTTTGACAAGTAAAAGATAATCACTGAAGTAGTTTATGCCCTTTCCTCCTATGAATGTAAAAGAAATCTTGATTTTGATTTGTATTGCTTGTGGTTCATTCACTCAGCCATCCAGATCTTTATCTATATTTTTTGTTGCAATCATTAAGTTACATGAGATAAATACTTCCTAGAGCTGTACAATGCTCACACAACCAATAAATTTAATAAAGGAAAAACCAAAAGTCTGAGAAGTAAAATGCCAGTGCTGACAATACTAATAATATACATTCTTGACAGGTATTATGGGGTGAATTCAAGTCTTGCTAGTTTCATTGTAGTCAGTTGTGTAAGGATTTTATTCTGATTTATGTACACAAAGAGAATAACTATAAATATAAAAAGATGCATTGTGTATACTGTATACATAATGTATTATTACATCTACACTTACCCCAAACCCAGGAGAACCAAATTGGTTGATTTGAAGTTGCACTTTAAATAAATTAAAAATACTATATTAATATATTTTTGATTAGGAAGATAAGATATTGCAGTCTTAATTTTACTTCTGTACTTTTAATCATATTCCTTTGTGTGCTGATGAGTTTGGCCAGCATAGCTGAAATGTCTGAGCAACACAGTTATAAGGAAAAAAGAAACAACTGAAGAGAGATTTTCTTCTGAAAATGAAGATGCATGTGATGTAAATCTAACTATAGGGTATATATAAGTTGAAAATTGTCCAATTGAAAGCTATGAATATGAAAATGGCAAATGTTTGGGGTTTTTTTTGTTGTTTTTTTTTTTTTATTTGCTTGCGTTTAAAATGTGAAATTCATCATTTAAATCTTTAAAAACTTTTATCTTTCAATGAATTAGTAGTTCCTAGTTCTATCTCCTTAGTTTATGAAAATGAAAAAGATCTCTACTGAGGCCAGATTTGTAGGGTTTCATCTGGAAGTAGATTTCTTTTTTATTTTTCTTTCTCAAATTTCAGTATAACATCTTTCTCCTTTCATTACCTTCTTCCTCCCATATTCCTCATATCCTTCTGTCATCCTTGCTGTTAGCTGTCTTGTGGCTGGCCATCGGAATTTCCTTAATTTCTGAGGAATTTCTTTTCACTTGGAAGCAAACTTTGTGAGAAATATGTAGTGAGGTGGACTGCGAACTGGCTGAAGGAGAGAAGCCAGAGAGTTGTGGTCTATGGGGCTGAGTCTAGTTGGAGGCCTGTAACTAGTGGAGTGCCTCAAGGGTCAGTACTGGGACCAGTATTATTTAATATATTCATCAACGATTTGCCCAGAAGGCTGTGCTGCCATCCAGGAAACAGGCTGGAGAGTTGGGCAGGGAATAACGGGATGAAATATAACAAGGGAAAGTGTAGAGTCCTGCATCTGGGCAGGAACAACCCCAGGTTCCAGTATAGGTTGGGGAACGACCTGCTAGAGAGCAGTGTAGGGGACAGGATGACCATGAGCCAACACTGTGCCCTTGTGGCTAAAGGCCAATGGCATCCTGGGAT